GTGGGGGCCGGAGGGGGGGCAGACGGCAGCCCCAGCCAGGCGCCCCCAGTCCTGCCGTGGTTCATGTGGTGAGGCCCGGCCATCTGCCCTTCCGCATGTGAGGACCGGGCATCCATGGCGTCCTCAGAGCGGGCGCTGTGTCCTCACGCTCACGGTGGGAAACGGCGGCCTGGAGACTTGGACAAACTTGGCCTGGATGTCGGCCCCAAGCCCAGGGCCCCTCCCTCCATTCCTCGCCAGCAAGGCCGGCCAGGGCCCACTCAGGACGCATGCGGCTGTAAACATGGGTCCTTCTCATCCCCCTCCCACGGTGCCTCATGTCCATGTCACAGGGACTCAGGCCCCCCCGCACTGGCTGGCTTGGGGCAGAGCAAAGCGCTGGCCGGACCTCAGGGTCCCAGCAGCGCTGGCTTTTCGAAAGGAGAGATGGCCTCACTCCTCATTAGCGTTAATAGCGGCTCCAGCCTCAGCCCCCAGCCCCCAGCCCACTCCAGCCCGCCTGTGCCGGGGCTCAGTGTTTAACCGGAGTGACCAGCCTGGCCTGGCTGTGCTGCGTGGGGGGTGGGGGGAAGGAAGGAGGTTGCACCAGCCCACAGGCCTCGAGCCTCAGTTATCACCTTGTGAACTGGAGAGAATTCTATGTCTTCTGGCTTGGGGCGCCTTCATGTGGGTTAGAAGCTTCCAGATGCAGGTGCTTCCCCCCTCCTCTCCCCACCATCACCCCGGCCGCTTCCCCAGGGAGAAGAGCCAGTGGAGACATTTACCCATCAGCTGGGCATCTGGCGTCACGGGTCCACCCACAGAGTCCTCGAAGGGGTCCCAGGCGACCCTGAGAGCCCATCTGGAGTGGGAGAGGGAGGTCTTTGCTGTGGGATTTCAGCTTTGGGGCGGGTGAAACTGTGCGGGGACTGGTGAGTTAGCAGGCCCCGGGACTCAGGCAGGTCCCCCCACACACACACACACACACACACACACACACACACACACACACACACACACACACACACACACACACACACACACGCCCCTGCCCCGGGCATGGCCCTGCCCAGGCCCCGTGCTGCCTCCCAGCCCAGGCGCCTCCTGCCCGCCCTCAGGCTCCCGTCCCGGGGTCGCCCTCTATTTCCCAGGAGAGAAGCCGAGCCACGGCCTGTTCCTCCAGGGACAGTGGACGCCAGGCGATGAACGTGCTCTCTTTGCCGTGGCTGCCAGGCGGCTCCCAGCCGAGCTTCTGCCCCGTGGTCAGCACGTGGGCAGCTCGGTCTCAGGCTGCGCCTGCCTGGGTGGCATTGGCACAGGTTCCAGAGCGCCCAGCTGCGGGCACGCGCCCTGCGGCTCCCTCAGGAGCTTTCCAGAACGAGCCAGACGAGGAGGCGAGAGCTCCGTCAGCACTGGGAGCATCTCACCCCGGGCGGCCCTGGGAGCGCTCGGTGACCTGTCATCTGAGGCAGGTGGGCTGGGAGCAGCAGAGGGAGCGTGGGGTCTGGGGGGCTCACGTGGCCCCCCCAACGGACAGCCCAGGGCCTGGGCCTCTGAGGGGGGCCTGCCAGCGGGAAGCAGAGGAACGAAGGCCGGTACCTACTGATGAAACGGAGTCAGAGGCTCTGCGGTGGACACGGCCGCCTCCTCCTCGGAGCACGCGCTGAGCCTGCCGGCCGGAGAGCCTGCTGCCGGGGCCGCCTCTCCCTGGGGAGCCCCTGCAGCCGGCCTGAGGGGCTGGGGGCCCCTGCCTGCACCCTGGGGACCAGTGGTCACTCTCACGTAGCCGTCAGGACACAGGACAAAGAAAGGCCCTTCGAAGAGACAGCAGGTGGTCACTCAGGGGGCCAGACTCAGAGGCAGCCATAGCTCTGCAGCGGGACCCACTCTCCCCGTCAGGACACAGGTGCGGGCAGCACCCCCACCCCGTCTCTGCACCCACAGCTGCCCAGACCCCAGACCCCAAGGGCCAGACTGGGAGGCTGGACCTGGGCTGGGGTCCTGGCTCTGCCGGCCTTCCCCTAGAGCCTGGCTCCCCCTCAGACTCTTGGGGCCTCAGTTTCCCCTTCTGTGCTGTGAAGGGCCAGATGGGCGACTGGGCCCACCCCAGCCACCCAGCTTCCTCCCCATGGCCAGAGGGGCAGCAGCGTCAGGCTGTGTGGCCAAGTCAGGGGCGCGAGCTGGGGTGGCGCTTGCAAACCCCCTTATTTCTTGGGGAGCTGACCGTGATAAAGCCCAGGCACCTCCCTGTTGGTGTTCCCCACCCAAGCCCCTCGGTCCCCATGGCACCAGCCCTCCAGAATCCCTCAGCTGCCGAGACCCTGAGTCCCCAGCCCAGCGTGGGCCGGCGCCACTGCCCGCGCGGCTTACCTTCCTGCACCAGGAGGCTCTCGTGCGTCAGCCTCAGCGCCTCCTCGTCCACGCGGACCTGGATGGCCGCCTCCTCGTGCTCCTCGGGCGAGCGCAGCCGTGGCCGAGCCCGGCACCCACCAGGCTCAGGGAGACACCCGCCCGGCCGCCCCCGCCTCACTGTCTGAGCTGCAGGGGCCAGTTGTGACCCCGGACAACTGATCTGACCGCCCTGGGCCTCGGGAAGGTTAAAGGACAGTTACTTCCTCTAGGACAGCGGTTCTCAACCTTCCTAATGCCGCGACCCTTAAATACAGTTCCTCATGTTGTGGTGACCCCCAACCATAAAATTACTTTCGTGGCTACTTCATCACTGTCATGTTGCTACTGTTATGAATCGTCATGGAAATATCTGGTATGCAGGATGGATTTTCATTGTTACAAATTGAACATAATGAAAGCATAGTGATGAATCACAAAAGCAATATGTAATTGTATATGTGTTTTCCGATGGTCTTAGGTGACCCCTGTGAAAGGGTCGTTTGACCCCCAAAGGGGCCACGACCCACAGGTTGAGAACCGCTGCTCTAGGGCCCCCCGGCCTTCTCATCTGAGAGATGGGACAGAGCGTTTCACGGGGGCAGTGGGGGGTGAGGGGGGCACCGCCCTGCTTGGGGCAGTAGGGAATTGTTGCTGGTTCTTATTTCCAAACCTCCTGGGCTCTCAGGCTGCGGGGAGGGGTGTGGCGTGTTTCCCCAGGGGACCCTGCAAATGCCCCCCAAAGGACGAGGAATATTCTGGAAAGCAAGCACCACGGCTGAGGGTGAATGACAGTTTCCTGGACTGTGCTCAGCGGGTCGGGCCGGTCAGAGAGCTGGGAGGTCCCTCGCTGGAAGGAGGTGGGGACTCGGCCCAGCCATGAGGCCGCACAACCCTGAGCATCTGGAGTTCCCCGCCCCCCACTTGAGCACAGGTGCGCTGCCCCAGAGGCCGCGGGCACTAACCTACTCTAGAGCCCGACTGTACACACCAGCCTGGTCTGGACCAGTGCCTGGCAGGGGAGTCCCGCCGGCTTGGCCTTACCGAGGGCGTGGTAGGTGGAAAACTTCCAGATCTCTTCGAAGGTCTTGAAGGTCACCACCAGCCGGTCCTGGTCACTGTGGATGGACAGCAGCCGGGCTGACAGCTCCTGACCGGGAGAAGCAGGGATCAGAAACGTCCCCGCGGCGCTGAGGCGTCTGACCGTAGGAGGGACGGTCATGAGAGGGGAACCTTTCGTAGACGTGACCCTGGCCCGGCGCCAACACACAGCTGCCTCCTCGACAGCCCAGGGGCGCCACTCACGCTCTCAAGCCCGCTGTGGCTCCCCAGCACCTGGGGCACATCTGGTCCTTCCAGAGCTCCTGGGCCCTCCTCTCTCTGGGCACCCCGACCCCCACTCCCGGTTTGCCAGGGACCGGCCAGCATACGCCTGTCCCCTGCTGGTAGCGTGACGGGACACTGGAGCAGCGCAGCCAGGACCCCTCACAGCCCAGGAATGTGTGTGTCGTTGGGGGTGGGGGGTGGGGGTGCTGTCATCCGCTTGCCTGGCCTTCTGTACGTGCCATAGCAGGGGTTCAGCCCAGAGCCAGCAGCTCACCCTGCAGCGCCCGCCCGGGGCCCCGAGGGCAGCCCCGCTGCTGAGCGCGTACAGGGTGCCCAGGGAGCTGTGGGGGGCCTCACACCGGCTCCCTCGGGCCAGGCTGGTGGCATGGTCAGAGGGTGGCCACCTGTCCCTAACCCAGCCCCTCCTCCTCCAGCCTCCTGGAGATCCGACTGTCCGGCCCGCAGATCAGAGAATAAGATCAGCTCCCAGGCCCTTTACTCCCCATCAAGGGGCCTTCCCAGCCCAGCGGGTGGAGGGCGCTGGGGGAAGGAGTCGGGGACCCTGGGAACTCGATGGCCCCTGCGTGGCTGCGCCTGCAGGAGTGACGGTTGGTACCTGGGGACACACCTCCAGGAGCGCTGGCGGGTACGAGTCGCAGGCTGCCCCGAGGGGAGGTGGAGGGCGGCCTCCCGCCCCTGGCCTTGGCCCCTAGGAGGCCTGGACTCACGGTCCCTGGTCCTGCTGCCCCCCCATCTCCTTCATACCGTCCACCCAGTCCCCTTGTCAGGGGGGGGTCCTACAGCTCC